CGGCTGACTACTCCGACGAGCCTCTAACCCCAGCAGGCCGCCTCTTTGTTCAACCCCAAATGAACCAAATAATTCATTGCGCCGTCGGCTTCAAGAACCCAATAAACATAGACTCAATCAAGTCCCATCTCAAAAGCTCTCTCCTTCTCTCCCACCCCAGATTCTCAAGCCTCATGGTCCGCGACTCACAGGGCCTCGAGCACTGGCGCAAAATCCCCCAAGTCGACCTCGACCTCGACCGCCACGTCATCGTCGTCCCCAACCCCATCATCACCGCATCCCATTTTGACCATGACACCGCGGTCAACGACTACTTGGCCGACCTCTCCACCAGCTCTGGGCTAAGCGCCGAGAAACCCATGTGGGAAGTTCACCTTCTAATGGCTCACAACTGCGCCATCTTCCGAATCCACCACGCTTTGGGAGATGGTGTTTCGCTCATGTCTCTGTTCTTGGCGAGTTGCAGGGGAGCTGAAGATGAGGAAAAGATGCCAACTTTGGCTTCTGGGAAGAGAAACAGAGTGAATGGTGAAAAGGGTTGGTGGGCTTTGTTGATTGGGTTTGTGGGTATGTTGTGGTTTAGCTTGATTTTTGTGGTGGAGTTTGTGTTGAGATGCTTGTGGGTTTGTGACAGAAAAACAGAGATCAGTGGTGGTGATGGGGTTGAGCTTTGGCCTAGAAAGTTGGCCACTGCTCGTTTTAGGCTTCAGGACATGAAGCTCGTCAAGAAGGCTGTTCCAAATGCAGTAAGTGATTTATGAGATTGTTGGCCACTGCTTGGGAAAAAGGATTTCTATATTGGGTATTTGGGTTGGGTCTCTTTCTGAGAGTGTTTTTTAAAGATTCTTTTTTGGTAAAAAAAATAGTATTTTTTTTATAAAGGTTTTGACCATAATTTCATGCCACTATGCAGACCATCAATGATGTTCTTTTTGGGGTGATTTCATCAGGGCTATCAAGATACCTAGATCACAGAACAACAAATGGTAATTAAATGACAACTGAGATTGTTTACTTGTACTTCCCATTTGAATCAGATGTCTGATGCATTCAAGGACAATAACCCAATTGTGTATGTCATCAGCTTTGCCTGAAGGACTTCAAATTACAGGGATAGCCATGGTGAATTTAAGAGAGCAACCTGGATTGCAGGTTTGTTTGCTGAAACTTGTAACCTTATATTTTATTTGTGCTATCCATTTATTTCAATGGTGTTGTCTTTGTTTTCTTATGAAATTATTGAAGTTTCAACTTCTGGTGGTTACTTGAATCAATCTGATGATATTGGAACAGGAACTATCCGATTTGATGAAAAGCAATTCAGGGTCAAGTTGGGGTAACAAATTCGGCATGCTTCTCCTACCTATATATTATCATAAAAGAAGTGGAACTGATCCTCTAGCGTATCTGAAGATAGCTAAAGTGATGATTGACCGGAAGAAACGATCTCTTGAGGCTTATTTCTCGTACAAAATTGGGTATTTTGTAATGACCTACTTGGGAGCAAAGGTGAGCACAGAATGCAGTTTTGAAACCAAAACAATAAAAAAAATAATGCAACGTTCACTTTCCAATTTGGATATTAAAAACCGCTTCTTTCTGTTGTACTGCAGCTTGCTGCCTGGCTGAATTACAGGATTGTTTGCAATACTAGCTTTACTATCTCAAATATACTTGGCCCGCAAGAAGAAATCATACTTGGAGGCAACCCTATAACTTATCTAAGAGTGAATTCATCCAGCCTGCCCCATGTACAGCCCACAGAATCACTTAAAATTTGTCTAGACGTACTGAATTGTCAACTAGAGCAAATCAGAAATATATACGTATAACATGAATGATTTTGCTGGTTGGTAATGCAGGCACTTACAATGCACATGATAAGCTATGCTGAAAGAGCAGACATGCAAATTTTGGTGGCCAAAGATATCATCCCTGACCCGGCATTTCTGGCAAAGTGCTTTGAGGAGGCCTTGCTTGATATGAAGGAAGCAGCAGCAGCCATCAATCGAACCTAGGAGGACCACTATACATTTTAATGGAATGTCAGAAAATTTTATGAGGTTGAATGTGAAAGGAAGATTAGTGATACATTTCATTGACATGCAGAAAGGGCAAATATCTGAAAAGGCTAATATGTAGATGGTCGGCTCATTTGCCATCATCATCATCCTTGTAGGCGTTCAAACTCTTACAAACAAAGACATATATACATCAGCCATACCTACGATGTCACACTCTCTCTTTCTAACACTAAACACTATATAAGAAAAGAACCAAACTCTCAGGATCTAACAATCAATGTCGTGCGACCAAACCCCGTAAGTAACCAAGAATAAGTTGCATGCTGCTAGTTCTTATTCCCCCAGTAGGCATGCGGCTTGTTGCGGCTTTTGGCAATTATGCCTTGGCCAAGGATTGGGGTTTCTTGCTGCTTCCTTTCTTTCTTCGCAGCAGTAGCCTCCTTAGCAAACCGAAACCTCCTTGTTTCTTACTTGGCACGATAGCCAGACTCCCAACTGCACTATTACCAGCTTTATGCCTTGAACCGAGATGCCCTTCTCGCATCAGAGCAGTAGGCGTGGACAAGGCATTATGACTATCAGAGTGAAGAAGAAATGGTTTTTCTGCATCTGCATCTCTCAGTGTTTCTTTCTCCTTTGGAGACTTGATATCCCCGACTTTGGGGTTATCCTCAGCAAGCATTTGATCACGTAGCGAAGAGCGCCTGTTCAAGTTATTGTCACTGGCATTGGCTGCAGTGCTGGTGGTTGTTGAGAACACCTTGTCAAAAAGTTCTGCTTCCCTTGGCGTAGCCAGTGCCTTCAGCTGTTTTCCTAGGTTTAGGATGGTTTCTTGGCACTCTGCCAACTTCACCGAAGCTGTTGTGATTTCCCATCCCTGAAAGTTTGAAGAACAGTCACACTGCAGTGCCTAATTGAAATATTGTTTACAATTGCAGTTGATTTTTTAAATATATTTTCTTAGGAAGTTTGAACTCCTTTTTAAACACAACCAGCATGTAATGAGATGATCAATGCAGTTCCACTATATATGTTTGGATGTGATCATATTCTTCTGCTATCACTTCTTTCAATTTTGTCAAGCATAGTTGAGTTGCCTTCACTTAATTATAGATTTCATGTAATTGAACTCTATTAGCTAAACCAAAAAAAAAAATTGTAACTTACAGATTGGGACTGCTTTTCCTCTTGGTTTATGCCAAACTCTGGAGTTTCCTTCTTTTCAGCACTGTGAATTAAAAAAATCAGAATTTTCTCATCATTCAACATAAGCATTATATAGTTTCCACAGCAGAAAAAGTCAGGAGACTGGTGATTACCTTTGTAGCTGGAGTTGGAGCTCAAGACATGTTGCTTCTAAATCTTCACAACAGCTATGTTTATGCTCCAATTCAGCTTCTAACGACGAGAACTTCTGGAAGACTTCATTCAACTTTGCTTTGGTAACATTTAGCTGGGTATCAAGATCTTCATTAACCGACTTCTGATTTTCGATCTGGTCTTCCATAATCCCTTCCGATTGTTTCAGACTCTCCAGTTCTGTTTGCAAGCTTTCAACTATTTGCTGTGATTCCTTTAGTTGAGCTTCCATGCTCTTTAGTTCATCCTTTAATCTACCGTTTTCTTCTTGCAGTTTATCCTGAACCTTATTCAACTGAAACGAAACATCTTGGTCATTTGAAGAAGCAACTAAAGGCAAACACAATGACTGCTCTTCAGATGTGTGTCCAATAATTGATTCCCCAATTGCACCCTCAACTGCAATATCTCCTTGGTCTTCTTGCCAACCAAAATGCTTCTTAATTTTATTCCTCATGCTTGAAGCATCTTTAGGTGTCCTATAGTCGTTCAAAAGCCAGTCCAAAGTAGAACTCAGTTCCTCAACAAAATTTTCAAAATTAGCCTTTCCTCCCAACAGATTGTGACAAGTAAGGACAAACTTTTCCACAACAGCATTTAGTTCCGAACGTTTCCATTGGAAAATGCGGATTAAGTAGTCTGTTGATGCTCCTGAGTTAAATATCTGGGAACTCTGGTCCCTATATGACAAAACATCTGTAGTACAATCATATACCAAAGATGTTTGGTTGATTCCTTGAAACAGCTTAATGAGTTTAGAGATTGATTTACTCAGACTGGACTGACTGCGTTGGCTGCCATTATCTTCCACTGAGGTGTCGATACTCAGAGATCCACTAAATGAATCTATAGGATCACATTCTGCACGATGCCCCGAGACCGCAGTTCTATGAGCTTCATGGTTAGTTGGTTGATTTATGTAACCCAAGGCAATTTTGATGTCCTCAAATAGCTCATCTAGACTTCGGTTCGAAACATTCTTTTGCTCCAACATTGCTTTTAAAACAACCTGAAGCCAGTCAAAAGAATTCTCTGGCCTTGCATCTTTTGACTGGCTGTACTTTCTTCTGTCGCTGAAGCTGGAATCAACTTCAACTGGCACTAGTTCCCTACCAGTAAAGCAACGATGATGTCCCTTGTTAGGTGGTGTACCTGCAGAAACTACTGCCATTTTCTCCATCTCAACAAAATCGTCCATTAAGCTAATGTCTGAAACCTCAACTTCTCTGCATTCCTTTGGACTTTTAAGTCTCTCATTTTTAAAATGTTCCAACTCTGAAATTAGAGCACTAGCCCATGATTCAGAGGAACTAATCCCATCATCACTGCCAATGTCAAACCTTGAAGACCGAGAAATGTCATTTGGAATTGGACTGCATGCAACTAGCTCCATAGATTTCTGGCCTTTGGAAAGCTGTCCAAGCTGAGTACCAGCCTGTGACAATCTGGAAGCTGTTTGAGAATGAGTGGTCCTCGAAGAAAGGAGTTCAGAGTTTTTCCTGATTAAAATTTCTTTAAGGGTTTTGTTTTCCTCTTCCAGATCATGTAATTGCTCAATCATGAGACGCATCTTCTTATTTGGAATTTCAGGAGAATTTCCTTTGTTGGCATCTCTTACAATCATATCTCTGGTAGGATTCAACTTTCTTCTTCTCATCTCGGTCTGATCCCTTCCAAGCATTTGAACCTCACTCTTCATATTCAGCAAAGCAGTAGGACCTGGCAGCCTTTTTCGCATAAGGAGATGAAGTCTTTGACATTCTTGTTCTAACTTTGTGATTTTCCTCACACTCTCCAAAAGTTGTTTGTGTGATTCTTCAGCAGACCGGCGGTTGTATTCCATCTCCTCACCCCGAATCTCAAGTTCCTTCTCAAGCATGTGAAATTCATATCTTAGAAAAGCATTTTCTTTTTCTGTGGAATCCAGTCTGGCCATTAGTGCACTGAACTCTGCATCTGCTCTAGACTTGTGTCTATTCAAATCTTCAATGAGTTTCTCTTTTGCTCGAAGGGCTTTGTTCAGATTAGTATTTTCCACAGCCAAGTTTGTAAGCTGTTGACTTGTCTCTCTTAGCTTCTCTTCTAATTTCTTCTGTGCCTTCTCATACTCTCTTGCTGTCATCATAACAGCATCGTTTATTCTTTGCTCCTGTTCTTCTCGAACGAAATTTAATTGCTGCTTGCACTCTGCCAATGCATCATCTGAATGAGTTAATCTCTCATTTGCAGATATTCCCTGCCTCAAAGCTTGATCTAGTTCTTGCTTTAGTACCGGCTCTCCTGCCTTCTTGCCACCTGAAACAAAAATTATATATTCGATCAGCCAAAAGCCAAAATGTGAGCATCCAATGAGAACAGATTGCCTAATACTATCTACAGAACAACTAAGCTTGTAAAGGAACAATATGGAAGCTCTGAGAAAAGAAGGATAATTGAGAACTACCTGCTATAGCTTCTTCTGCTGTTTTTGCATGTTCTGTAACAAGATCTTCTTTAACATGACAGTCTAGGAGGACTGAAGCTAGCTTCTCATTTAGATTTTTCCCTGATCTCTCTGTTTCATTTCCTTTCTCAGTTGGATATGTTTGTATCTAACATGATGAAACATTGGTAAACACAATATTCAGATTCGACATCGTTGCTTAAAAAACTAAAACTATACTAAGCTTCTCAGTTACCTCTTCTTCAATTCTTCCGAGAGGAATGGCGTTTGTTGCAAGAATTGTCTTCTCTGAAGATCTTTTCCTCCAGAGCCAAGCCTTCTGGTCCATGATTTCGGTCCTAATTCAAGAACAGAAAAGGAGAAATTAGTATGTAAAAATATCAAAAAATATCAAAAAAAACCCTGTAAAGGCAAGTCATTACAGTAACAATCTCAGTAAATTGAAGTGGACTAAAGTGATTGCCTATAGCTAAGACACTCTGGTGACTAAAAATTTGATAGATAAAGAGTAAAGGATATTTACAGTTACACCAATTGTCACTGGATGATATCATACTGTAAGTTTGGATTCTTCTATGATGAAATCCAGAACACATCCAAGTTCATACTTGGAAAATGATCAGAACCATAAAAAGAAAGCATTGGACAAAGATCTAAGCATCTTGGCATGCAGATAACATACAGAAGCTGGAGCATGATGAAGCAGAGTGATTTTTTCAAAAACAAAAAAAAAAACAAAAAACAGATAATAAAAAAAGTCACTAAATTAGGAAAAAGAAAAAGAATTTCAAGCAATCTAAAATTTTCTGTTCCAGTCAGGCCTCATCAGTTACAAGGCATGCAGTTCTGAAGAAGTAAAAAGTAAAATGGAGGCTGAAAAATTCTCAGAAGGAAGAAGGGTGGTGGTGGTGATCATCAAGAAAATTTATGTCTTGATGTTATGACAGTTAACAAGAAGTAAATCTAAGTTTTGTTTAAGATAATAACCAAGAGATAGATCATGCATGAGGATTCAAGCCACATTTTTATCCAAACCTGGGTAATTAAGTGAAAGACCAAAATGCTAAACAGTAATCTCATCCAAAACCGTTGCTGTGAAGCAAGACAGAGGAAGCATAGAAAGCTTATGCTGTTTTTAACGTTTGGGAAATGAAAGTCAAAGACAACCAAACATCTTATAAAATCTCATAAATGAAGAGAAAGTTTTCTCCCTAGGAATCATAGGATGCTCGTACCCCCACCGACAGTTACCTGTGTGTGTAATAATTCAAGAGAGAGAGAGAGAGAGAGAGAGAGAGTAAAGGGGAAAAAGAAGAAAAGGGAAAAGGGAAAAGGGAAAAGGGAAAAGGAGAAAACCAAAGACAAAAGGAGTCAAAGAACAAATGGCCCGAGTTAGAACAGAGA